TCATAGCTTAAATGCTGTTGAGTGCAACCATATTTACATACTGTGTTCTATACATCCATATTGCTTATTAACAATGGATAAGCATCTTCTGTAAACACCATCAATACAGAAAAGAACAGCACAGCAAATCAAAGGTGTGTGTGTGTGTGTGTGTGTGTGTTCACAAAGAACCTATGTCCTATTTTTAGATGCAGTCTAGAAGTGCCACTGAGCTGTGCATCCCTGTGTTTTCATTAGGAGAGACTTAAAGGCTAAAATCTATGGTTATGGTTAAAACTGGAGTTCTGCAAGGAACTTGGTCTGCTTCTAGAAATACAACTACTCTATTACACCAGAGATGCAGGAGAGAGGGCTAGGAGAGCGAAAACTACCGGTAGGCCTCAGCTTACAACAGCTCATTTAGTAAGCGTTCAAAGTTACAAGGCACTGGAAAAAGTGACTTATGACCATTTTTTTACTTATGATCATTGCAACTTTCTGACAAGCAAAGTCAATGGGGAAGGCAGATTCACTTAACAACCTGGTTTTACTAACTGCAGTGATTAACTTAACAACTGGCAAGAAAGGCCGCAAAATGAGGCAAAACTCACTTAACAAGATTCTCACGTAACAACGTAATCTTTGGGGGGGGGTCCAATAATGGTCATAAGTCGAGGACTACCTGTAATAGCGCTCGGAGATGCCACGCCCGTCATTCTGGGCGTGCCGGCCTACAGGCGAAAAGGGGGGGGGGCGGTTTAGGTCTCGACCGCCGCCGCGCCCGCTCACCTTGTCCGAGCCAAGTTCGGGCCCTTCTTGGCAGCAGAGGCGGCAGAGGAACGACTTGGGCTCGCGGCAGAGAGTCTGGCGGGTACTCACGAAGTAAGTGCCGCCCACGTTGAGTCGGACCCACTTGGAGCCGCCGCCGCCGCCAGCCGCGGCTTTCTCGGGCGGCGGAGGCTCCGGGCTGCGCGCGGGACAGGTGGGAGCCACAGCTGGCCGAGGGCTCGGCGGCCCCGAGATCGGGAGCGGGCTGGGCGTGCGGCCTCGTGGCGGCCCCTCCCCAGCCACCAATTCCGCCATGCTTGGCTGCGGCTTCTCCTCTAGGTGGGTGGGCGGATGATAATCCCTTTTTTTCAGTCAGCGGGCTGTGCGGAAAGGCTGCAGATGCTCCGGTCGAGGCTCGATAGCCATCCCCTCAGTCACCGCTGACAGGGAACGCCAGACTTCCGGGATGATGAATCGCCTCCGGGTCATCCAGCGCTCTCCGAGTTGAATGGCTGCCCCGGCTTCGTTCCAGACGTTCCATCCTGAAAGGGAACCGGAACGAGAACATCTGATCAGTAGAGATGGCAATAATAGTCGGAATAGTGAAGAGACACCGGAAGGAAATACGTAGGCAGCCGTACCATAAACTCCAACAATTTAGATCGGCGCTTCTTGATTTGCAGTGGACGATCCTAATTCATTTCTTAGTGGAACGAACACTTTTCGAAGCCAAAAGCCCGTTCTCTTTCGGAAACGACGTTTAAAAACTGCCCTGCCAGTTTGCTTCACGGAGAAGAGAAAATTATTTTAATACAGGGGTCCCCAAACTTGGCAACTTTAAGACGTGTGGACTTCAACTCCCAGACCTCTGTTTTAATACAATTTGCACCGTCCTTTAGAAAGGGGGAAAAAACTTTACTGTATACCTGCTTTGCAATCGCAGGGGTGGGTGAGTGGATAGAGGTGGCTAAAAAGATGGAGTGGGTTTTGCAGAAGCCTCCACAGAAGTTTGGGTTATTCTCGCTCTCCCAATAGCATTTGCAACCTTTTCATATTATGATCTATCTTCTAATAAAAGTTTCTTAAGAGCAATCACTTACTAGACATCCTCGATGAAATGTAACAGGGCAGAGACCCGATTTTGTGGTAGAAATCAGAATAGAAAATGGAGATTTGGTCGTGTCTAGAGGATATGGGTTGGATAATATAAACACACAGTACTGCGAAGGCAGAAATGGAATGCACAAGTAGTCCTCGATTTACAACAGTTTGTTTAGTGACGTTCAAAGTGACAACGGCACAGAAAAAAGGGACTTACGACTAGTTTTCACACCTTTGCAGCATCCCCATGGTCATGTGATTATAATTCAGATACTTGGCAAGTAGGTTCATATTTAATACCGTTGCTGTGCCCCAGGGTCATATGTGGTGGTCATTTGGGACGACCTGACAAGCAAAGTCAATGGGGAAACCAGATTCACTTAACCACCGAGTGACTAAGTTATGAATTGCAGTGATTCCTTTAGCAACTCTGGTAAGAAAAGGTCGCAAAATGGGGCAAAACTCAGGTAACAATAGAAATGGGTTCAATTGTGGTGGTATAAGTTGAGGATTACATGTATTTTAAGGGAACTTGTGGGGATGATAGGTTTACTCGTCGAAGCACTTGAAGAGCCCAAAACTTCAATTTGCATCAAGGTTCAACTGCTTTGCCTTATGAAGCCAACACCCCCTGCCACTGCCTGCAGGAACGGAAGTTCTCCCCCCTTGCCTCTCACTACTTCATTAAGGTAGTTTGCCTTGTCCTAAAGGTGCTTTTTTTCCCCCCAAGAGGCACTTGGACTTTGTGTTTTTTCTTTGAAGACGTTTCGCTTCTCATCCAATTCTTCAGCTGCAAATCAACTCTTCTTGGATGAGAAGCGAAACTCTTCAAAGAAAACCAGGAATGTCTAGTTGCCTCTTGGGGGGGAAAAGCACCTTTAGGACAACCAGGACCTGGATGATGATGACTGAGACTCTTCAGAGACGGGTAGTTTGCCGTTGCGCTGCTCGCCGTCTAGAGGAGAGCAGGCCGCGCTCTCACCTTTTGCTCTCTCTAGGAGACGGCGAGGGCCGCCCTCTTTCCTGAGAGAGTCGTCCCGATTGGGCCCCTTGCTCCCTGCCAGGCTTTGGTTCCGGGAGCCTTTTCCGGCGGTGCAATTAGCGGGGTGGCTGAAGGTGAGCAGCCTGATGTCCTTTGGGTGGGTCGCTAGTCTTGCAATAATCCCTGCTTGCTAACCAGTTTTCCTCTTCGATTTTCCCCCTGTAATGTTTCTCGTTTCGTCATGGCGCGGCTCAGGGTTGTTTGATGTCTGCCTCCAAGGACAGACGTTTGCTCTCCAGTGTAGTTTCCCTCTTGGCTAAGAATATAGATGCTAAAATAGAGAAAAAAAATTCGCTGCCTATTTTATTTGGGATAATTATGGGGTGTGTGTGTGCGTGTGTGTGCGTGTGTGTAATACAGTGCTTGATGTCTCGGAGCAAACGATCCTGTATCAGCTTTTTAAAAAGCTATATGTCTTTTTAAAAAATGGAATCGAAACTGCATGATTTTGAAACATTCCCAATTTTTTTTTGTACGTGTGTTTTTTTTTNTTCATTTTCAAATCTATTTTCCCTTGACCTGAATATCTCTAACCAAGACAATTTTTCTAACTAAAGCATTAAAAATAGCAGTGTGAAACCAAAACAAAAGTCTGCTCTTTATCCAGGCTTGTGATGATATAAATATATATATATATATATATATTCCCCAAACATGTGTCAATGCCAAGACAGCAAAAGCAAGACAGCAAGGGGGGAAAAAAGCAGAGCAATGCGCTCTCCAGCTGGAAGATTCTCTTCTTTCTCTTAGCTTCTCAGTGACTGGGGTGGGATGAGCCTTTGGTTTTTACCAGAATTTAATTCTCCACTGGCAGGACAGGCTCAGCTTTGCTTTGTGTTAGTTTTATTACTGTACAAAAGCAAGATTGGACTGCAGGAGAAATGCTCTGCCCTGCTAAGTTGCCCTTTCAACATCTGGGAGTTTTAAAGTTAGATGCTTGGATTACATCCGTGATCCTCGTTCCTGAAGAATCTGTGGGGGGGGGGAAAAAGAAGCATTTCACTTGAGAAGCGTTTCTTGCAACAATAAAAAAGAGAGCTGGAAAACATGCTATGTCTCTCAAGATCTGACGTACAGGAAAGTTTGTATAAGAACCTATCAGACTTCCTATACACTGATTCCAAGTCATCAAGAGGAGGGTTTTTTTGTAATAGCTAGCATATTGTGAAGAGAAATCCCAAATATTCATCAGAATGTATCACAGTATTCCAACCAGGATATAGTTAAAATATATTTGATTGCAGATGGTATTTTAACTATACAAATATACTAGCTTACTGTCAAAATTTGGGCATGCAGAAGGATACCTGAATGCAAGCCTCCATGGGGATCATACCCTGTAAAGCACAAGTTGGTTTGCTTTTCAAATGATCAGGAATACTTTAGATTAAACATCATTTTGTTTAACAAAACAGTTTAACAATGACATCTGTCATCAGTTTAGAATCAGTTTTTAACTATGTGCCAGATTCTAAAGCTCCTCCTCCAAAAATAAACAAAGCCACTATAAACATGCTTCCAAATTCCATCCTAATCAGGAACTCAAAAAAAAAAGGGGGGGGGGCTGGTATTTCAAGATTTGTTGTTATAGATTAAAATGAGCTATATGCCAACAGGGGGACTAGAACCCTGAACAGCTTAAGCAAATTTATATACAGATCCTCATTTACCAAGTTACTCATTAACTAAAATTTCCTTTTCTGACCAATGTGGGCATTCAGGACAACCAAAGCTTTCAGAGTGAAACTGATTAAGGTCTGGTCAATTTCAAGCAGCAACTCCCAGCAATGGCAGAGTTCTAATCAACAAATTTAGGCTCACAGAGCTGTTTAAGGTCATGTAATTTTTTTTAAAAAATGAAGCAGCAAAAGAATGATTAGAAGTTGATTTTGGAAAGTTATAATGGATGTGGGGATTTGAAATAAGATTTTTAAATTGATTGTGGAAATCCTTTCCATGGGACAGTGTTGTTTATATTCTGAAAGAAAGTACAACAAGATGGGAATTTGAACACTGGACACTAGAGGGAACAAGAAGGAATTATAGATTACAATTAAAGGAAAATAGCGTTTCACTTTGGCTTACTAACATAGGATGGAACAAAATATTTTTAATACTGGACATATTCAAGGATTTTTGTGAGTAAAGGATTTACAAATTAATCTTAAAAGTGTCTACCATTATAGATAGGTGGCTTTTAAGAGACATTGAAGAATAGAAACAGGTTTTGTCAAACAGGACTGGGATTGATTTGAAAGTTGATTTCAAAATGACAGCCTGCAAGATGATATGGAAAAAAAATGTTACACTGAATATACAAATAAAATTGGCTGATGTTTTAATAATTGAAAAGGATGTACAACTGGCAAGCCGAAAGAATGTCTTCTTTCTAATATTGGATTTGCTTTCTAATATTACTTTCTAATATTGGATTTGCAAAAGACATTTGTTAAAATTCTGAAAGAAATGAAAAGCAAACCAACTCTAGGACATTATCAAGATTAAAAATTATGATTGTTAAAAGTAGAAAAAAGGAATATAAAGAGTGCTTATTTGATCAAGGTTACAATATATATGTTGTTACTTCTGGCACTTCTTAATGGACTTTTGCTGACCACAACTGAATCTAATGGTTGTAAGGATCTGTTTATAGACACGAGATGCAGTGTGGGATGAAGTGATTTTTTCATGGCATTTTAAGAAAAGATAAATTATTAAATTTGTTTATACTTGTTGCAACAAAGGGGAAAGTTATTTCATTATATATTTTCCCCCTCTGCTATATGTTTATTTTTTATTTTTCTATCTATTTTTCCTGCATTTTTAATTTTTATTCTTTTATCTTTTGTAGTTTGTTTTCTGTTTAAATAGGTTTAATACAATTATTATAAAAATATCCACGTCATCTACTTTTATGCCATTTAATAAATAGGAAAACTGAAGGATTACAATCACAAAAGGCTTCTCACCTTTGCTTTCTCACTAGGCTCTATGACAATGCCATTGGTCGAATTATTGAGCTCTCTCGATACAACACAGAGAAATTCTGCCTGATCTTCATTTCCATAGTTGTATGATGATCCAATACTAATTAACTGTTAAAAAGGAAATGATATAAATATTAAAAATAGCAATATGAGATGAACATAAGATCAGCCTTACAACAACTAAGAGTTACAGATTTGCAAAAGAAATACTTTTAACTTCCTTTAACATTTAGGAGGTGAAAAAGCATGCTCATATTATGCCTTTAAACTCTAAAAACAGATGTACCATGTGACTTCCCTGTCAGATCAAAATACTAACATCTTCAGTTTTGTTATGCAACTATATACAGATATACCAGATATCAAGCCTTATAGGTGAATCACAATATGTTTTATTAATTAATATTTTCAGAGAAAGTGTTACTGTATTTATAAATGTTCCAAGCTCATGCATCTAAAAGGGCATGTATAGAAGTCAATATCAACTAATATGATTACCAAATGTGATTCATATAATCAACTGTTTATAGGGCTCAGCTTGGTATACCCTGTACATGTTGATTCTATTTGCAGAAAAAGCACAAATCACTTTCATATTAATTACTCTCATTCTTTATACTATTATTTAAGCAATATGGTATCATTCTACAGAATCAATACTATTTAAAATAAAGAAAAGAATTATGTGGCTAGGAGCTCCAGAGATAGCTGGATAAAACACTAAATTTTAGGACTATTCCATGATGAACAGCTGCTCACGTATCCTAGCATTAAAAAATATAAAACCAGGCTTTGCAGATTTAGCCATAGCTCCAGCACCACCCATTCATGCAATACCCATCAGGAGCACCTTTGAATAAAGGAATAAATGTATCTTTTCCTGAGATTATATGGCAGCTGTGGGAGGCTGCTTGATGAAGTTCCTGACATATGGTGCATATGTTCTTCTTTATGCTCTTAATCATATTTTGCTCCTTGAAGTCAGATCTTTGTGAAGCTCTAACAACAATCACAAAAACAAAACCCAGCAGTTATAGAGAGCTGTGGTGGCGCCGTGGTTAGAATGCACAACTACAGTTATTATACTAGTTCTAATCAGGAAAAAAGATTCCTGTTTTTCATTAAGGAGTAATTACACCTAATAATCAGGGGGTGCAGCAGGTAAGTGGTTAAGATGCTAGGCTTGTCAACTAGAAGTTTGGCAAGTTTTAAACCTAAGCACTGCATGATGGCGTGAGCGTCGGTTACCTGCCCCAGCTCCTGCTAATCTAGCAGTTTGAGAGCATGTAAATACAAGCAGATAAACAGGTACCACTTTGATGGGAAGGTAACAGTGTTCCATGCACCTTCAGCATATAGTCATACCTGCCACATGACCATGTAAGGGTCTTTGGACAACGCTGGCTCTTCAGCTCTGAATCGGACAGAAGCACCACCTCCTAAAATCAGACACAACTACCAGGGGAAATCTTTACCCTTTTTTATGCCTAATAGCCTACAATATAGACTTTTTGCATGATGTATACTTATAAGAATTCAAAATTGACACAAACTGATAGCACTGATCAATTGTTACAGTAAAATTAAGAAAAGAATGCAATGACAACTAAAAATCAGGCTTCTGCAAACAACAGGCGTATTTCCACGCAGTGTCATTTGTTAGTGAGATGAGCAGCATATAAATGTAATAAATAAACAAACAAGCAAACGGACATAATATATCCAATGAATTGTCCCAATTTCTGAATCTGTTAATACCTGTTCAAATTTCCACCCATCAGACATAGTAGACACCATTTGGGTGAGTTCTTCTTCTTGGCACTGCAGAACTCGGTAAACATGCTTGACAGGTCCCTGCATTAAAAGAGGGAAACTAACAAGTTAGAAATCAAGATTCTAAGTTTTTTAATATTATTGAAATGATGGTAGTATAATACTATAAGATGAATGAGGCTCATAAAAACAAACATTTGTAAAAGTGTTTAAAAGCATGCTTTTAGCCACCACAGTTGTTAAAAGCTAGAAAGGGAAAGTGAGATGTTTTTGTGAAAGGCTTCAGAAACCAATAATATCTCATGAAGGGGAATTCCTATGATATGGCTCTTATGCCACAGGGAATACACAAGTCTACCATATCAAATGGTGACATATGTTAAGACATAGGGGACACCATACATTTATTTTCTTTCTAATGTGAATTACTTGAGAAGTTCTGCTTTCATTGTCTCGTATTCGCTCTTTCACCAGCCTCACTAGAGATGCAATGTTGTAAAATTCAGCTTCTTCCAGAACACCTAGGAATAAGGATGCAGAACATGGCTTCAGCATTTGTAAGAAGGAAAAGTTGCTACACTTCTGTGTTAACTACAAAATCTCTTGATCAGAAAGCTTTCAGATCTCTTTATGAAAAGAAGCTTATTTTTATAGGCTATGTTCCACTGGAAAGCAAATGCTGATATAATAGTCTCTAAAATAATGCTCTAATGAAAGCACTATCAAGGATACCTCCCTGCATGGTCATAAATACATGCCTATTTGAATAAGTTGATTTTGTACTGTTTCAACACAGGGCAATCTGAGTAACATAGACTTTCTAATATATATTTAAAGACACACAGATCATGAAATCAATAAGCTTAAATACACTTAATTCTGGGCTCAGGCAAGACCAACCTCTATTAATACTACTACTGTAATTAAATTTGTATGCTGCCCAACTCCTAAAAACTCTATGTGGAATTAAACATCCCTAACCTTCAAAAGAGATTTATACATTTGTCAAAGTTGTGTTTTTCTTACCTTCTTCAGCCAATTCCTTGTTTATTATGAGTTTTCCATGCCGGAGGTAGTTCAAGATTGGACCAAAATATGTGGGATCCCTATCAATGAGATATGCCCCTGTTTCATCCTGTAAGAAGATATAATTCTGTTATAGTCTGCTGTGAAAGAAAAATATTCCAATGGCATCCAGACATTTGGACATGGAACCAACTGTCATGAATCTGAGAATATGGTTCTCTGAGAAAGGAGCCAAATTCTTTTATCAGTGAATATCTTATTCTACATTTACTTGTGTTAGATGATTCTGTAACATAATTTTTAAAAAATAGGCCATGGCCGATGCACCTTGGCTTTATCTAATTAAATAGAAAATTGTGTTTATTTATATGAATAATCTGCTCTTAATTATGTCACAAGCTTTTCCCCAAATTAAGTTAATGCACAAGAAAAAATAAATATAATTGTACTGATAGTTATTACTACATCCTTAGAAAATATTTTTATCACTTGAAATATAATTCATCCTGTGTATCTAATAAATCTGAGCTATAAGTTACATCAACACTTTTGGCAGCCTTCACAAAGATAAATCCAGAACATTTTTTTAAAATTTATTGGCTCAAACCTATTTATGAAAACTCACTAAAGCTACACATACTTGGGAATGTATGTATCCTACTGAACCTAGTGGACCTTCTTGGAGAGACTGATCTCAAAACTCCATTAACATAAACATGCAATCTGTAAGCGTTTATACATTTTATTTCTTGTGAAAACAGTTGATTTCACTTACTGAGTAAACAAGCAAGGGCTGTATTACTTGGAAGTGTAAATAAAGACCACAAATTTGATACCTCTCAATAACTATTATAACTTTCCACTATTATCTAGATCATTGTATTTAAAATTAAATTCTAAGGAAAACTATTAAGTAAGGTTTTTTTTACAAGGCATTTAGAATTCTCTGCATTGACTATATCAGTGATTTTATGCTAAAGCAACCACTCTAAATTATACTTTATCTTGGCACACAGCTTTAAGTACCAGAGAAAGAAGTTGCTTTGTATACAGATATTGATTTTTTAAACCATTACTTATTTTATTAATGTAAAACTGAAAAGCTGTATGGGAGAAAAGTTAGATCTCCAGTACAGTGAATAATTTATCGGCTCTGTGAGCAATGAACTGAATATGTTTTTTGACAGCTCTGGAGAAAAGAAGAGCAAGGCTTCTTATAGAACAGCTGTTGGAAATAAGGCTGTGTGTCCCCTTTCAACTGCTTAGGGTTAAAGTTTCTTTTTGATACCCATAACTTTCAATGATTTTATGCTACTTTTCCCATATGTATGGTTAAGATTAATTTTAGCAAATATTATGGCTACACTGGCAACAAAAACACTTGCTAAGAAGAGGTAAGATGGGATAGGAACAGTAGAAGGAGGCATTGAATTGGCAATCAGAATCTCTTCAACCTTTCTAGCAGAACAAGGAAAATTAGCAAGTGGAACCAATGGGATTTTGGAGAGCTCTTAATAAAGAAAGCTTTCCTCTACAAGCAATAGGGCTGAATTCAAATTTAATGCATTTGCAGTACTGAAAGGCTACAAAAGGTGAAGATATTATATACTCTTGATTCTGAAAGATCTAGAAAATACATTATTTATGCATGTTATAAATACATAACATTTATAAATATGTGTATGCATTTTTTAAAGAAACCATTTCTAATTACACTCATTACACCAAGGTAAATAGATTAAATTCAAGTTATTTACTGACAATACTTCATTGTTGAAGTATTTGATTACAGACTAATCACTCATTTAAGATAGAGAAATAAGACTGGTCCAGAGGAAAGCTATACAAAAGACAGTGCTTTTAATAGTCTTGTTTTCAAGCTAAGTCTAAGCTTTAAATAGAATTCTAAACATCCTGGTTTACAGCCATAATGATTAAACCAAATCATTACAAACCACATCATAGCTTAAATGCTGTTGAGTGCAACCATATTTACATACTGTGTTCTATACATCCATATTGCTTATTAACAATGGATAAGCATCTTCTGTAAACACCATCAATACAGAAAAGAACAGCACAGCAAATCAAAGGTGTGTGTGTGTGTGTGTGTGTGTGTTCACAAAGAACCTATGTCCTATTTTTAGATGCAGTCTAGAAGTGCCACTGAGCTGTGCATCCCTGTGTTTTCATTAGGAGAGACTTAAAGGCTAAAATCTATGGTTATGGTTAAAACTGGAGTTCTGCAAGGA